AGCAACAAGCAGCCCCTGCCTGTTTGGATCAGTGGCGTTTTTATCTAGAAGAAACACCTTTTGGTCTTAATCGAATTTAAAGAAGCATGAAAGTACATTGCTGAACTTTATAGGATAACTTTCTTTTTTTGAAGTGTTTACTTCAATGGTGCTCCAAAATCGACCTGTGTGACAGGTAGTGAATGCTTTGAATTATACATGTTGAAACTGGTGTCATATGGCATTTTGTTTCTTAACCTTTTTGATTTCTCATAAGGAGAAAATTTGCTAAGCCTGTTTGCCTACCATCTTGGGCCCATACGGCTCGGTGCTGTTTCTTAAAATCGTCATCGTCTTCGCAAATGTAACGCAAACAAATCATCTTACACAAACTGGTGCTGCTGTTCACAAGGATGTCGAAAATACCAGTGAGCCCGTACCAAAACCGTACAATCCACTATCAAAGCCTGTCCTAGAGTGTGTCATGTAACCTAGAGTTTGAGCCTATTGCATATTGTGGTGATGTGAAGTTGTTCTGATGTGACCGATCGTAGATTTGGCTAGTGTTCTGTCAGTTGGCTAGTACTAGTGGTTGACCGATATGGGTTTTCCAATGACTGTTGGTCAATAATCAATAGCATATATAGAGAATAGGCTAATATAATAACATATATGAAATATTTGGACAATAAAATGGGTAGTTCACCCCCCCCCCCAAAAAAAAGACCTGTTATTATTTACTCACCCTCATGTCGTTCCAAACCTGTACGACTTTATTCTGCGGAACACAAAAAAGAAAATATTTAGAAAAAAGCGGGAAACTGTTTTTGTCCACACAATGACAGTCAATGGGGTCCAAATTTTGGACCCCATTGACTTTGATTGTATGGACAAAATTTGGGAGATTCCCACTTGCCCGATATATCGGTCTATCACTAACTGGCGTGTAACATTGGCGTGCAACATCGCCAACTTGAAGACAAAGCAGGAGTGGATTTCCTCATTGTTTTGCATCCTTATTTCCTTTTGTGTTTTTGTTGCTCAAGTATGTGCTCAAGGAAAAATCAACCTCACCTAAGCTTTAGTGAGATGCTGTTTAATAGACTATGGTGTATAATAATAATAATAATACAAATAAAAAAAACTTGTAAATGGTCTTTCTGTCCAGTTAATATGAGTACATTTTGATGAAATGGTATGTTGACCAGTACATGAGTACATTGTTACCAGCACGGAGTTTTTTTAATTTTTTTTTATTATTGGTAGTAATTAATAGTCATTGTTAATGTTACCTGTTTTAATGGCCAATTTGTGTTTTGATATCTTTGCGACTGTTTATCAATGATGATTTTATTATGATTTCATAATCCTGACCATTTGGATACTCTTTAGAACAGTAAGGTGCTCTCCTACACTTTAAACTATGAAAATGCAGCTATGAAATTCATGCACCTCTTGCATTGCGAAGAGGGTAAGCATTTATTAAACGTCAATGCAAGCATTGCTTGTTTTACTTCATTGTGACGTCTCATTTGAACTCTTTTGTCCATCGACGCTGTTTCCTGTTGGAGTGGAAGTTAAACTCTTGTTGAAATTGATGTTAAGCTATTTAAAAGGTAAACCGATCATAATTCTTGATGTTGCGTTTTCTCAGGTACATGTATGAGGTTGCATTGCAAAAGGCAACTCAAATCCTTTCGCATGTTATAAATAGATTAAAGAATATGTAAATTTAGATATGTCAAAATATGTAAATTCATATAGGCTTTGTCTAGTGGTCAGGTACATGTATGAGGTTGCATTGCAAAAGGCAACTCAAATCCTTTCGCATGTTATAAATAGATTAAAGAATATGTTCTGAATATGTAAATTTAGATATGTCAAAATATGTAAATTCATATAGGCTTTGTCTAGTGTCTCAGGAACATCAGTTCTGGCTTTGTTTTGCATATAGTTTTGCATATTGAAAGAGAATGTTGAAAATATTGGCTGTCTTCCTAGATGACGGCTAAAAATGAGAATGAGATTGCTTTACTGTGCATTATTTACCTGTGGTAGAAAGTTCCACTGAATGGCGTATACTATTTTGAAGTCACCAACTTAAAGTTTGTCTGTTGTAATCCCTTTTAAGTTATTAGAATGAATTTGTAATACATGCAAAAATTCTTGTGCTTTTTCATGGTTCAGCAGAAATATCACAGGATAATTGTGCAACAGCAGCAAACTTCTAAGAGTTGTCAGATTTGTGTCACTGTTTGGTGCTTTTAACTTAAAGACTTATAATGACAGCCTAATTCAGTTAAGTTTTTTAAATCTCAGCTTTTAATAAAGTGTTTCTAAAGAAAGCTCGTTTTGATTGTTTTTTTTTTTTTATTGCCTTACTAGCATAATGTACAAAGATTAATGTCCAGCTGGGAAAGGTAATAGCTCAACCATTTAGGAATAAAACAATCACAAAAATCATAGGCAATGCAGGTGACCTTTTGTGAAGGTCACTACACTTTTATTAACATCCTGGGTTCTGTAGCCGCATTTTCCCTGGGGGCTGCTGATAAATGACAATAACACTTGCTGAATGTAATTTAAAAAGAACATGTTATTGATACATGATGAAGATCATTCCCTTGCAGCAAACAGGCCAAAAAAAAGATTATGCAAAACAGATGTAAGAGAACACTTGTAGTTTGATGTACCAATATATACTAACCTTAATTAACAACTTTTAAAATATTAAAGTGTTTACATTTTGTAAAAATGCATCACATACTACTCCTCATAAAACTAAAGTAAGCTTGTTAGCATTCAAGAAATACCCCTTTTCCTTTCATCAGGAATTCCAGATATGGTAAATAATCTAGCATTTTGTTCTCCATGATTTGTTCCTGTTCTCAGCCATTATTTTGGCTAAAAGATACCTGCCTTATCTTTTGGGATTGGTCAAACATCTAGCACACTAGTGCTAGAAGGACCTTGAAAGTCTGGAAAACATGCGCAGCTGTGTGTCTTCCAGAAATCAGGGCTAGGAGTAATGAGAGGAGTCAGCAATTCACCCAAATCAACCTTTAGCATTAATTTAATTGAAGGGCCTTTTGCCTTTGTCATATTCAAACCTAGGTCCCCTTGAGCACTACGGCTCCTACGTGTTGCAGTCACACGTGCATATATATATATATACAGTGATTCATGAATATCAAGGCACATAAACTCCGGTTGCTTTAGAGAGACCTTGCTAACAATACGAGAACTAAAAGTTGCTAAAAGAGAACTAAAAGGAGTCATGGCACTGTCATGTCTAGATGGCATACCATGCCATGTTCTGCAAAAAGTCTTGCCACTTTGAAAAGACATTTTGAAGAGTTTTGCAGTACAAGGCTTGCTATATAAACACAACTGTGCCCCTTGTTCATTGTTTATGGATCAGCTCCTTGCAGGGTTTGAACCTACACCTTTTTGTTTCCTGACCCAGATATGCCCTTTTACCATGCAATATGTTTAAAGGGTTAGTTCACCCAAAAATGAAAATTAGTCCATAAATTACTCACCCTCAAGTCATCCTAGGTCTATATGACTTTCTTCTTTCAGACGAATCCAGTTGGAGTTATATCAGAAAATTTGTCTTTGATCTTTCAAGCTGTTTAATGCCACTCAGCGGGTGTTGCAGTGCATCAGTCCAAAAGAAGTGAAATAAAAAGCGCCCATCCATTAAAAAAAAAGTGTCTCACACGACTCCGGGAGGTGAACGAAGGCCTCCTGTAGCAAAACGATGCGTTTTTGTAAGAAAAAGCCATATTCAAAACGTAATAATCACTTTAATGTAGCTTGCACCAACAGTCCTACACGGAGGATGGCGTATGAGTTCAGCCTTGCGCATGCGCCAGTGAGTCTCATGAAAACCAATGTTTGTTAACAGGAGCAAAGGAAGCAAAGTTTCCTTACATTAGCAAAGGAAAACCAGTCTCCTCTTGGCTTATATCGAAATCCTCTGACATTCTTCCTTACAAATCCTCGTTTTGTACTTCAAATTAATGACCGTAGTTTTGTTTTGATCTCTCCGCTGTGCTTCCGCGTGCGTCACTTATGAGCGGGGCATGCAAAGCTGACCTCACGTCACGTCACGTACAACAGTGAGCGCAAGCTAGATTAAATCGATTATTGTTTTAAATATGGTTATTTTTCTTACAAAAACATCGATTCGCTACAGGAGGACTTTTTATTAAGGATGGGTGCTTTTTATTCAAAGGAACTCTCCACTATTTTTGAAAATAGGCTCATTTTCCAACTCCCCTAGAGTTAAACAGTTGAGTTTTACCGTTTTCGAATCCATTCAGCTGATCTCCGGGTCTGGCGGTAGCACTTTTAGCTGTAGCTTAGCATAGATCATTCAATCTGATTAGACAGTTAGCATCTCGCTCAAAAATGACCAAAGAGTTTCTATATTTTTCCTATTTAAAACTTGACTCTTCTGTAGTTACATTATGTACCAAGACCGACGGAAAATGAAAAGTTGCGATTTTCTAGGCCGATATGGCTAGGAACTATACTCTCATTCCGGCGTAATAATCAAGCAACCTTGCTGCCGTACCATGGGTGACAACCTGCTAGCACAGGGAGCGTGCTGGGGACTATTTTCAGGCGCTGCGTAATATCATTGCGCCTGCTGCACCCATGGTCTGTGTCTCATGGGAATGAAATGATGAAATTGTGTACAAATTTAAAAATAGAACTTTGTTGCAATTTGCCAGCAAGCAGGATCAAATTGTTATGCACTACTACAGCTGTGTGTCTGGGGCCTACAGAGTATTCCATTGTCTGGATGAGTTCCTCCTCACCTTATCAAAGCTCAAAGGCATGTGATGTCCATTCACTATCCCTCAAAATTCACACGTCCACTGCATGCCTTGAATACCCACTGTTACTCCAAGGACGAACTTTCTTGGCAGGCTGGCTCTGCTCAGGAGTGCAGGAGGGGGTGCATATAAAACGCATCCCCTCTGTTGACCCACCCCAAAACAAGTGCTGGATTTCTCTGTGATTGAATCAGAGAAGATGCTTTTCTACGCACGATTTTGGCTGAGACTGTTGCTGACTGTGGCGACTGGGTCGTGTGGAGCCAAAATAGGACACAAAGAGCAGGATAACAGCCCGAAGGTCACCCCAATATCAGGTCAGATCTTCCATTTGTCCCGCATCTGTGTCTGGTGTACGCTGATGCATTAATGGAACTTTTTAGCATTTTTACATCTCACAGATCAATGAACCTGCTAAAGCAATAGATTGTATGTTTTTGTGTGATTATGATAGTTGTTTGATATTTTCTTGATTATATTTTTTTGGATGTAGTTCCCTGAAGTAGTTGCAGGGGTTTAGGAACCATTTGATAAGCTTCAGGGAACATGTTAAAGCAGGGGTGTCCAATCCTGCTCCTGGAAGGCCACTTTCTTTCAGAGTTTAGATCAAACACATTTGACTGGAAGTTTTTAGTGATCCTGAAAACCTTAATTAGCTGGTTCAGGTGTGTTTAATTGGAGCTAGAGCGAAACTCTGTAGGGAAGGTTGCCCTCCAGGAGCAGGATTAGGGGCCATTTACACGATGTTTTCAGCAAAAAACTTTATGCATTTTGCCTGTTCGTTTACACGCCAACTACTGGCCTGGCATATACATAATGCAGCGGTTTTGGCCATTTTCGCAGATATGTGTAAACGTGAATCATTTTGAAAACGTTGTCGCGTATACATGAAACATTTTAAAAACGCAAGGGAAAAACTTTTTCGTTTTTGACTACATCATTGTCGTGTAAATGTAGCCTTAAGCCCGGGATACACTGCACAATTTTTGGCTGTCCCAGACAAAAGATTGCCATCCTGAAGCAATCGTGACTCTTAATCGCTGGTCCTATGTCGTACAGTGAGAGAGGTTCAAAGACGGGCGTTTTCCCGGTCTTGCGACCAAAGATAGCCTACGATAGTTTTCTGGCAGTGTCAGAAATTCAGCATGATCATCGCATGTTTGCCGTTACGACCACGTTTCCTGACCAACCAGTAAAAATGCGACATGAAATCAACACACATGGCGCTAAAACATAAAACTGCTTACCTCAAGCTCTTATTCCTTCCTCTTTCGCCGCTCCCGCTTTTTTTCAGCACACATAAAAACTACAACTGTCAAAGTGTGATTAATTATGCTCTTTTTGTTTACCACTAGCGCATGCTAATGACATTTTATTCTTCTATAGAAACGTGCGTCGTAGCCTACGAGTCAATAGGTGTCATCATCGTACAGTCTACATACACATTTAGTACATTTAGACATCCCTGCATTAAGGCATGGGTGTTGCTTTTCTCCCAAAATGTGAAAGCAACTTTAGGTCCGTCCTTTTCAAACTTATCTAACACACCTGATGCAACTCATCAGCTTATTAGTAAAGACTGCAAGACTTGTGCCTTGTCCAAATATCCACCCACACTTGCGGTCTTTGCACTTGATCACTTGACTACTTCTATGGCGTATTTCCTGTATCTGGCCCAAGTGTTCAAGTGAGGATGAAGACCACAAGTGTGTGTACAACTTTTCATTACCTGATGGGACATACTTAGTGTTGTAAAAACGCAAGTGTTTACAGAGTTTTAATTTTTATTTTCAATACTTTGCATTTTAAAATAAACTTCTAAATGTCTGTTCAGTAGTCCCTAAAACAGAGATGACACAATTAAAATTCTGGTGCTTCTAAGTGATAACAAGCAGTTGCAAATGATGTACAAAATAAATATACTCACCTTTGCACCAATAAAACGTGTAGCATTTTGTTTTACTACCAAATTATATGTAATATCTAATTTGCACATTTTGTATGTTTCTTATCTGACACACTCAGTTCTGTTCAAGAATCTCTCTCCTATAACGAACTGAAGATCTGATTCAGGTGTGTTAAATAAGGGAGACATGCAAAATGTGCAGAGCAGGGGGTCCCAAGGACTGGGATTGAGAACCACTGACCTGAAGCAGTAGTTCTCAGGACTGTAATTGAGAACCATTGCTTAATGTCCTGCCCTTGAATGGTTGTCTAAACTGACCAATAGGATGGAATGGAGATGAGCAGGATATGGCACGCGTACCCCGCAGTGCCAGTGAACAGCCGATCGGCCCATCTGCACAGTCAACACATGCCACAGAAGTGGCATGTGATAAAGAGCAACTAGCTCACAGTCGTGCCATGGATGACTTCCTGTCAGCCCTGAACCGGGAGAGTGAACTAGGGAGGATGGAGTTCCAGTGGTTCGGAATATGTTCGTTCGGAACTCCAGATTTGCAGCTTTCACATCTAGTACAGAATTTGGACCAAAAACGAAGTGGTCTCAAGGGTGTACATGCCACAAAAGGTAAATTATTATATATTTTTTTGGCTTCTGTAATTGGATTTCCAGCTAAACTCTGGTTTTAGATGGATGTTTATCTTTGTCGACTAGTCGACAACATTGAGTTGTGGTTATTTTTAGTAGATATTTGGGATGCTGAGAAGGAAGGAGAGATGACTTTAACCCTCACATTCCCAAGGCATTCTCAACTGACCAGCCCAGCCTCTGTGACGCTCCTGTTCAGTGTCGATTCCATTAAAGGAGATGGTTTGAGAGTGAAATTCAAGAGTCATTCCATCCATCCAAATACACAGGTTGATAATGATTGTATATTTTTGACACTTTATTGACTTTTATTGAGAACATGAAATGATGGGGTGAAAAGGGGGCAACGGGACTGTGAAATGTCATATTGCTGGCATATCAAAGCAGGGGTGTAGCAACCACCTACGTTGCGTAGTCTTAACTAATTCATATTCATGATAATGAGGTTTATAATGTATACTGACATCATTCCTTCGCTGCCAACCAATACAGCATGGCTCCAGTTAGATTTTTATGCACATTTTAAGTTTCCATGATATGTTTTTTTTCTGTTTATTTGCCTCTCAGACAGTTTGCTTTTCTGAGGCCACACGGTTCCTGATCCTTACGGGAGGACAAAGCCATGCCCACGTTCACCTTAAGCTGAGTGTAACAATTGAGACATGGAAGGATGAAAACGGTGAGACAGTTTTTTCCCTTCAAAAACAGACTTCTCTAAAGAATCCATTCACACTGCAAATTTGAACTCTTTCTGTTACATCTTAGAGCCGAAACCCAGTGTGTCTGAGCTTCAGGAAGTGTTGATGAGAAAGGTAGATGGCAGCAATATGTCAATGAGGCCGATCTTGGTTTTCCTTTCTGACCGTGATGAGCAAAGAACACCACACTTAAAATATCACAGGTAAATGATTCCCTTGCTAAAGGTTTAAACTGCTCAATTTAATCCTGCGTTATGTTATTAGATAATGACCCAGATGTTAAGCCATGACCCATTTAAATCTGTGCCGCCTTACTGTTAAAATGAAAATGGAATAGCATACTACAATACATCTCTTTCAGCAGTATACAGTGCATATAAAACTGCATGTAGTTCTATGTCCCACAATGCATTTTCCGACAATTGAATTGGAATATCAGCCGTTACATTTCACTTTTCTCATCCTTGTTTATCTGACATATATTAAAGAATATTTTCACAAAATGTAAAAATGTGAATTAGTCATTTAATTGGACACCACTTCCTGTCACATGACCTCACTGTTTAATGTGCTTTGTACGTAGTATGGTATTTCAGTCAGCTAATATTCCATTCAGGACATGAATCAGGACATCTTTTTTTCTCAGAAATCCACTCGATGAGAAACCCCCATCCAGAACTTATCTTTTCCTCTGTGAGCTGCAGAAGTTCTTGAGTGACATCCTTCCTCGGAAAGAGGGGCCGGCACCTCAGAGAGATGCAAACGCTGTCTCTTTGGATGCGCTGCATTCCCTTCCACCTCTCAGCCTTGGAGTGTCATCCACAGTGTCCCTGCTATCAGGACTGGTGAATTCCTCCACGCCGACTGTATTTGTTTTCCCTGAGAGGCAGCAAGGCCTGCAGACTCAACGAGTGGAGGTGACCCTTGATTCTCCTCTGCTGTCTGTGCTCAGAATGAGACTGGATGAAGCCATGGCTCAGGTGAAACAGCAGGAGGCGGGGCAAAAGGTGATTGACAGGCTTCAGAAACTGAGTGAACTAAGTGCCCTTTCTCCAGATGGAGAGGATGATGAAGCAGGTGAGCAGTAAATATTTTTTCATATACACTACCTGTCAAAAGTTTGGAATAATTATGATTTTTTTTTTAAGCACCAATATTCCAAACAAAACCCTGCCCTATGTTACCATTGAATTACATCTAAAATACTATAATTAATTTAAGCTATGATTCATTTATAGTGGATAAGGACCGCAAAGAGGCCCAGTACCGGTCCATTTTGCTGCTGAAGGCCCTGCAGGTGGTACTCCTTACCTGGGAGGTGGAAAGAGCTCAGAGAGCAGCCAGAGCAGATGAAGATGGCTCATCAGTGCCCAGTCAGTGTCGGCTTCAGAGCTTGACCGTGTCCTTGAGGAAGTTTCTTCTTGAGCCCTCTACAGCCAACATCAACAACTGTGAGGGAGTGTGTGGATTCCCCCTGACCAACGCCAACAACCATGCCATCCTCCTGAACAGCCACATTCAGAACGGCCAACCCGTTAATCGCTCTCTCTGCTGCGTACCAGTCGACTTTGACGACCTGTGTGTGATTGAGCTGGAGAGCGAGGGCACCAACATCTTCTTCAAGACCAACGTGGTAGCGACCAAGTGTGAATGTCGCTGATGGCCTCCTTTGCTCTTTGAAATGCGCTTATGCATGCGCGTATAGCAATATGAATAAAATCTCTCATACATCTGCATTTATTCTCAAACTGACATGCAACATAAGCTGTCATTTGAAGTGTAAATTGGGTAATTAGTGGGGACATTTGCATATTCAATAATATAAACAACATTTTAGACCACTTTTAGCTGTATTAATTAGTTGTCCTGTTAACATAGATTTGCATCAGTGCTGAGCGCATTAAAATTATTTTGCTGTTACAATAAAGTAAATATTCATAAAGCATGTTTTCTCTTTGTATTCGTATTTGTATAATTCCATAACACAATTTGCTAAATTCTCTAAATGTTACAGGTGGTTTATATAAACCATTTCAGATGAGGATTATATTTGCTTACACTAACAGTCAAAAGTTTGGAATAATTAAGATATTTTATGTTTTTGAAAAGTCTTATCCTTCAGAAATCATTCTAATATGCTGATTTGATTCTCAATTATTAAAAATGGTTGTTATTCTAAATGTTGAAAAGAGTTTTGGCTGAATAATATTTTTGTGGAAACATTGATACATTTTTTTCAGAATTCTTCAATGAATAGAAAGTTCAATGAACAGCATTTATTTGAAATGGACATATTTTGTAACATTGTGAATGTCTTTATTGTCAGTTTTGATTGATTTAATGTTTCCTTGCTGAATAATATCATTAATTAATTCCAAATCTGACTTAATATTTACTTTTAAATGGTAGTATATCACAGTTTCTACTAAAATATTGAACAGCTCAACTGTTTTCAACATTGATAAGACATGTTTCTTGAGCAGCAAATCAGCATATTATAATGATTTCTGAAGGATCATGTGATAAAAAAATCAGCTTTGACATCACAGGAATAAATTACACTTTAAATTATATTAAAATAGGAAACATTTTAAACTGTAAAAAATATTTTGGAATATTTCTGTTTTACTGTAATTTTTGATTGGTAGTGTATACTTTTATATAACATTAATTTCATCTTAATAACACTTTTAGGAATAAAACAGACTATTCCCTCTCCCTGAGTAATCATTTAGCCATATCTTTGTTACGGATCTTCCGTGGTCCAACCTTCTCTCCATCCTGCTTTGGCCTCGCTTCTCTATTTTTTTTAAACTCTTTGAGTTTATCCTCAGATCCCCAGTTCCAAAATGCAAAGGTGTCCCACCATGAATCAGGCTACAGCAAAAACAGACAATTCAGAAACAATGAACTAGCTGAAAACTGTTCAAGCAGATTCAAATGAGCCTTACCTCTGCTTCACCAAGCTGAAGCTGTGATCCAGGTTCATCTTCTGTCGCTTCAATGGCTCTATTGTCTCTGTTACACATGAAAACACCATAAATACTGATTCAGATTGTTCAGTTGTGGAAATTTTGATCAGTTTAATGATGAAAAGTCCTTGCTAAATAAATATATTAATTGACCCAAAACATTTGAACAGCAGTATATTGTATTTGGTAAGCAAAATAAATCCCTTCAGGATGATACAAGACGCCTCAGGCCCTTACACTGTAAAAAAAAATAAACTCGTAAATGACTGCCAGCTACGGCCGTAAAAAAAAAAATATATATATGTTTTACAGATTTTTCCTTGTTTCAATTATGATATTTTACTTTAATTTTACGTTTTTTGTTTAGCAGCCGTAGCTGCCAGTCATTTACCATTTTTTACTGGACTTTTTTTTATAGTGTACAATGTCAGGGTTTATTTTGCGATAATAATTGACTGGTTGTACAAGTGAGAAAAAAGTGTTTATTACGTTTGAAATGTGGATATTTATCTTACAAAAATGCATGGATTCGCTACAGGAGGCCTTTATTCACCCCTCGGAGCCATGTGAGGGACGTTTTATTATGGATGTGCGCACTTTATTTCACGTCTTCTGAACTGTTGACAACCAACACGTGCTTACCCCCATTGTAAGGCTTGGAGGGACCAGGACAATTCTTAATATAACTCCAATTGTATTCGTCTGAAAGAAGAAAGTCACATACACCTAGAATGCTTTGAGGGTGAGTAAAACACAGGCTAATTTTCCTTTTTGGGCGAACTAACCCCTTAATTTTTTCTTTCTTTGATAATTAACTAATATTTTATTCAATAGTACAATAAAAGATTGTTTTAATTAATTAATTATTAATTTGTTACATTTATATAGAGCTTTTCTGGGAACTCAAAGCGCTTTACATGGAAGGGGGAATTTCCGCAACCACCAATGTGCAGCATCCACCTGGATGATGTGACAGCAGCCACATTGTGCCAGACCGCCCACCACACACCAGCTTAACTAATACTTTATTCAATAGTACAATAAAAGATTGTTTTCAAGAATACAATCAGAGATATAAAAAAATATCATCTCAAGTTAGTGTATTTTTCCTTACCTCTCAGGCAGAGTCGGGTTGGCAGTAGTATGTTTCCAATACATTCTTGTTCTCTCTCAACAATGCTCTAACACAGGGGTAGGCAAGTTCGGTCCTAGAGAGCCGCAGTCCTGCAGAGTTCAACTCCAACCCTAATCAAACACACCTGAATGGATTCGTCCAGAAGACACCGCAACCCCTGCTGTTCTCTCTAACAACTTTCCTTTCTCTCACACCCCTGTCAGGTTGGAAGGGTACTGGTCTTCTCATTTCTAATAATTGGAAATACTCAGCTCCTGTTAAACTCCATATTGTAATGATTTATAGCCTTCCTGGTCAACTGGGCACCTTTATAGATGAGCTGTATGGGCTGCTGTCTTCATTCTCTGTTGATGGCAGTCCACTTGTAGTCTTTGGTAACTTCGAAATCCATCTGGAGAAGCCTTACACTGCAGACTTCTACTTCCACTCCTAGCTCCATTCAATCTCAACAACAAATCAGGCAACCAGTTTGACTTAATTTACACATGCAATTGTATCACAGACAACATTTGGTAAAACCTCTAGACATCTCTGATCATTTCTTTATTACATTTAACCTACATATTACTACCTGTGTGCCACCAATTCCTCTACCAGTTACTTTTAGGCAAAACCTACGGTCCCTTTCACCCTTCCATCTTTCCTCTGTAGTGTCAGCCTCTCTTCCCTCACCCACCCATTTCTCATCTATATAGTGCTATATAATCAAATATAATCTATTATAATCACTACAGCTGTCAATCAGTTGCAGCGCGATTGGCTACATTTCTCAGTGTGTACAGGACCGAGTCAAAATAGTCTTGGTTATTGGACTCCCAACCTGCCCGTTCTTGTCACCATCCGGCCCGTACCCGCATCACACCCTACACATAAATATTATTCCACCCATTACATCAAATATTAGCGATTCACCTGCATGTACCCGTCCGCATGCAGGACTCTGGCTTCCCCCCTGTGGACAACATGATAGACAACTCTGACCCCAGAGAGTGATTGTAAATTAAGTTTACATGAAATATGTTTGAAATTTCATTGTAATCCTTCTCATAAAGTCACTGAATTAACCATTAACTGTTCACCTGATCGCGTTGCTGTCTGCGTGTGATGTTAGAGCATTGTTGAGAGAGAACAAGAATGTACTGGAAACACACTACCGCCTACCTGACTCTGCGTAAGGTCAGAGGTAAGGAAAAATACACTTACCTGAGAGGATTTTTTTATATCTCTGAAATCTATCAATTTATATCAATCTTTTAATGTATTGTTAAATAAAATATTAGTTAATTATCAAAGATAAAAAATGAATAGCCGTAATATGTACTATTAATGCTGTGATACTGTGATACTCAGATACTGTGATTTCATTCTCACATAGCTGATTTCACCATTAACTCTTCACCTGAACCGTTTATGTTGCTGAATATGGTATCATTGTAATCCTTGACCATCAAAATATAGGGGTAGACATCACCTTTTCTGTGTTATCATGTTTGGTTCAGGAGCTATGACACAAAATACATAATTTGGTTATGTTGGAAAGTAAAATGGTCGCCATGGCAACCACGAGGCGTTTTTGCGATGGCTCCATTTCTGAAAATGTTTAGGGCCGCAAACTATACAAGTGTACCAAGTTTCATGCTTTTATGAAAAAGTGAACATTATTTTCACATATCACCTGGACTATTGGTATTATTTATACTAATAAACATACAATCGCGTCAAGCAGTCATTGTATAGATATTTTCCTGTTAATATTACTATTTTACAGTTAATAATTTGTTTAAATGCATTACTTACAATGAATCTTAGATATAGTAGGCTACATCTTGCACCGCTAATGATGTAACAATGAGAAATATGGTTTATTGTTAACAGTAACACCTAAATATTAGATATAAATTATAATCTATCCTATTCTAGTTTTTGCATACTACACAATTATGCATTCATAAATCAGACATTAGGCTTATCATCACTAATTTTGTGTTAAAGCGCATGACGTCACGCAGAAGCCACGCCTACTCGTGTTCCGAGTATAAATACAGCGGGCCTACGACCGTTAACACTTTCAGTCGGAGCACGGACAGAGAAGAATCGGGCCTTGACGTTGGCCGGATGGTTAAATCCAACCTCCAGACGATCCTGAATAGCCACTGTTTTGTCAGAGAAAAAGAGAGTAATATATCCAAGATGCCAGTGATCGAAATGACCCGTAATAAACCCGAGAGTGAAAGGTAATGTGGGACTTTTATGTAGATAGTTCGCTCGCGGCCTTGTTTTAGCAGTTCAGCCTAGCGAGCTATATAAATTGTATGACGAAATACAATTTAATTTATGTTCGGTTTCATGTTTTATTTTCCCTTTGCTTACATAATGAGATTTAAATCTACTCACTTGTCAGAACTCTTTAATAAAGGCATTTCTGAATGAATTATGTTAAAATCACGCGAGAAAGCCTGTGTTCAGTTGGGATCGTGTTGTCAATCAGGCACGGATTAGAATGATTGACAGGCCTGTTGCCAGGTAACCGGAGTTCGCTGAACATTCGAGAAACTTACAAACCACCCATTCAAACTGTCATTGCCATCGTCAGTTTAAATGTCTTTAGAAATCTATGTAGTCTCTACTTGGCTTTTGAGCTAATACCAGATGATTTGAACGTCGTTATGTAGCATCATAACGTGTTATTCGTTATATCATATTTTATATTTTTAAAAATGTTTAGCGTGGATATTGAGGTGTCGCACAGCTCAACAATTGATTGACGGATGGGTGTTCGCGAGGTGG